TGACATTTATGGCACACCTTGTACAGAGGAAAAACATATTGCTTTGTGACAGACAGTCTGTGTGCAACCTGCATTTGTCAAGTTTAATCATGAAACATGATAGCAGATTGTGTAATAGAACAAACTGACCACTGACAGTAAACAACATTCTGGTTTTCATGGTGGTAACTTGGCTGCTGGTGGCAGCTGCCACACAGTAGGACTAACTGACTCACTCACCATGATCAGGGAGTTGGGTTTCCAGTAGGCCGGGGCAATCTGATCAGTCAGCCAAGAGGTGACAGCCTTGGTGGGCTTGACACTGAGCTCTGACACAGACTGAGCCACAAGGTTAACTCCATCTAGCAAACGTTGAGCAGCATAGCTATTGTCCTTTAAAAAGCCCTCTGACTGCAATATCAAAACAGTACATTAGTGATGAATAAAATAAAAATAAATAAATAAACCTTATTATTGGTTACTTACTCCTGGCCATACATGCTGGATCTCAGTGCGAACAACTGTGTCCACAGGGTCCTGGTTCCCATACCAATACTGACGACTCCGATAGATCACTCCACAGTTGGGACATTCGATGACATACCTGTGTGTAGTGCAAGGTGAGAAAGAAATAATAAATACAACTAATATGAAGAATGCAACTTGTAGGTTGAAGTAACACATGCTAAATTTTGCCAGTGTATAAGTAACATAAACCAGACTGAAGCCTAGATGGTTGACTTTATAGGTCAGTTTGCTACACTCACCCAGACCAAGCATATTTGGCAAGTCCCATCCATGGAGAGTCTGAGGAAGCAGAGGTCTTGGGGACAACAACAACCTCCCTTCCACCTTCATAACAAGCCTTTACAGACAAAGTCATACATCACTAAGGAAAGCAGATTCCAAATTTACACATAGACCTTTTGGTAAATATCCTCTTACCTTACAAGTATAAATGCGATTATCATACTGAAGAGAATAGCGACAGCGGTGCTTTGCTTCATGGCTCAATCCTTCAGCTAAGTGGTTCATGCTGTTCCTACACCCACATCTGATAAAACCAAAAAAATAACCATCACAACCATCACAAAAGAAACATGAACAGTTCAAAGAAGGACAGACTACTTACCCACAGCTCAGACATGAGCTAGAACAGGTGAAATACTCATCTGGAAAAAAACAGCTGTGGGCCACCACTTCATCTGCTATTTCCCCATTAAAGCGTTCACTCAGGGCCTGTTAAAGATAATACATTCAGTTACAATAGTTACAAAAATTACACAACTAATTAACCACAGGCCTACATGCAGAGCTTTGTAGATGACAACTGGGGTGCGTGGTGAACGAGTGGCATTATTATCCAGGAGCTGCTCTAGTTCATTTAGCAGTCGGTGGGGGGGTTCAGGGTCTGCGTGCCCCAGTACTGGACAGAGCTGAAGGCTTCTGGAAATCGAGAGACCTTCTTAAAGCGCTCCAACAGCAGTCTATCGACAGATTCAGATGACTTGTCTGAAATGACAAACACAAGTATTGGTGTTGAAATAACACTACTGTAACAGTGAACAGATACTTGATCAATTGTTAGGAGCACTTAATGGACAGGCATTACTTCTCATATTACACTGATGTTTGCATGTAAAGCAAAATATCAGGATGATGTAATATGTAAATGTGTAATTCAATAAAGCAAAAGGATGTAGTAAGTTACAGATGTGACAAGTCATTTGTTTTTGTTTGTGATGGAATGTGGTTTTCTCCCCAAACTAGTGTTTACACATTTTTCAACATTACAATTGTTAGCGCTAAAAGCTAATATTTCATAAATCTGTAATTTTCTATATGATAGCTCAAAAAGTAGCAGACAGTCACAAGCTCCTAATGCTCCTAACTCTAAAACAATATTTCAGTCCAAGTTAAGTCCTTTTTTTTATACCTGAACCAAGTGTTTTAGTGTGGACAGTCTCATGAAAGATGACAACAGCAGGTCCCAGCGTTGACAGTGGCACATCCAACCCACACCGAGCTGACGTTGCCTTCAGCTCTTTGGCGAAATGCTTCAGGTACGCCTCAGAGGCATCTCCCAAGAATTTAAACAGGTCGTCGTGGAGACGGTCTGCGTGGGTCCGGTAAATGATCAGGTCTGAGATAGCCAGCACCTTCAGCAGCAGACGGGTTCTCTGGCCTTGTTTGGAGCTATTCCCCAGGAGGCCCTCGGTGTCAATCACTACTACTTTATGAATGGGGTCTAATGCTGCCCACACGCCCACAGTGCAGGACTCCTGAGCGGGGGAGGTCTTGAACACCTCCCTGCCCATGAAGAAAGTGTGGTTGAGTGTGTGGGATTTGCCCTCGCCAGTGTTCCCAAAGATGGATACCACCTTCATCAGCTGGTCTGGGTTACAGTTCAGGCTTTTTAAAAAGGAACTTTCATCTTTTATCTTTAGAGAGAACAGAAAATAAAAGGTAATAAACATTGAATATATCTAAATTTTTGCACTTAGCTTAATAAAATTACCTGCATTTCTTCATTTTCATCAACAAGGAGAAAACTGCACACCTTTTCCAGAAGTTTTGCCTTCTGAGACTTTGTCTCATCACTTTGTTTGTTTGTTGGTACAGCAGGCGGTTGTGGAGATGCTTGGACACAGTTAGGCTCTGGGTGTTTCGGAGGAGGAGGAGGGTATGTTGTGAGCTGGTGTTTCTTCTTATTGCCTCCACTGTGTGTACGTTTTTGACAGTCTTGGCACAGGTTGACTTTGCAGTTTTGGCAGCGGACAACTGATCTCTGTCTTTTGCCATTGTCCCCATTGCCCCCACTGCCCTCTTTACCTTTACAGTTGTCACAGTATGGGACGTGCCCAGGACCAATCTGAACACGCTCATGGTTCTTCAGACGCTCCTGGTTATGGAGCTCAAGTTCACAACGCACACACTGCAGGCTCCTGCATTCATCGCATTCAAAAGCTGCCTCTTCAGAGCCACCACAAGCATAACTCTCTTGACATATCAGACTAGTGTTGACACCTTTTTCAGACGATGAGCCATGGCTACTCATCGTTTCTTACAAGGCAAAAGTGAAAAACTCAAAGTCAGGCTACGCCTCAAACAACAGACTACAGAAGCAGCAACTGGATTATAATACACACGTGTAATTGCGATGTTTGCAGAGCGACTAATATAATTTAATACTGTTGCATGATTGAACAACTAAGTCTACAAAATATATCTAAAAACTGTGCAAAAAGGTTGACAGATGGGAGATTATTAAAATTGTGTTTTAGCTGCACTTATTCACACACTACACCAACAGTAACATTAACAATTTAGTGCATCGCCGTTAGCTTCAACAATACAGTGACTTAAATAAGTAGCTAACGTTAACTTAAATTGTTAAGACACAGAAAAACAGCGACTGCAAATAACACACCCTGAAAAAACATACAGTCTGTGCAAATATGCTAACAACGGGCTAGCTAGCAAACTGACCCTGGACAGCTCACAGAACAATTCAGAGAATCGTTTTAAGTTCGCATAAAAAATGCTTAGCTTGATGCTAGTGGGTTTCAATTAACTGCAAAGACTTTACTCCAAAAGATGTTATTACCAAGCTATAAATATGCGAGTGTAGCAGTTAGCTGCAGCTAGCCCCCAGTAATGTCAAGTGAGCTGTGTTACATCAACAAAAACAACAGCGAGTCGGTGTCCAGTGCTCGGATATTCCCCGCTCCGTGTACAACCAAAGGAGGCGAAAAGCAGACGAAAATGTTCAATAAAACTTGAATAGGATGTAGTGTTTTTAAATCCGTCCGAGCAGTGTCATTGTTTTGTTCTTCTGCCCCCTCCCTTCCAGATTTCTGTAGCTACGCTATTTTGTTGCCAGGTCAGATCAGCTGATCAGATTATTTTCAGGCAGGGTCAAGAGAGGGTGATGGTGTTGCATCATGGGAAACGTAGTTTAAATGAAATCTCGATTATTCGGGTTCCTTCGTGGAGCAGTATCCAACTTTTAATTTAATTATTTATTTGTCCTTTTTGATGTAAGTCAAACTGCGTTTTGCTATTTTTTTGTTTGCTTCAACACATTTAAAACAGGGTCTACCCCTGCACAGAAAGGTCGGTCTGTATTCCTTGCTCTTTTATGCAGACCTTTTATTTCTTCTTTTGCCTAGCTAGGCCTACTTAAATGTCCGTATCCACACACCTATGTCATTTTCGCTTTTAAAGCATTGCCTTAGCCTATTTGTTAATCATTTAATGTATGATTCTGTCTGTGCTGGCGCGTGGGCCATGGCTGAAGTGTGAGAGGAGCAGAGCTGTTGACAGACGATTCTGCCCAGACAAGACTACACACTTTTACAAAACAAAAATAAGAGGTGATACCCCGCTGCCAGTCAAGCACAGCACATGGATCCACATCTGTGAGACTAAAAAAATATTTTGTGCTGGTAGCAGCAAAATAAGTTTTGGATAGACTTTTAAAATATTACCTAAGCATATTAGCCATTAGCCAAAAATGACAATTTATAGGCCTTCTCAAATTGCATTTTTGCTCACTTTCATTCCGTTCTGGTGGACTAACACGAGAAAATTTAAAGAGGATCCTTCTCACAATGCATCACACCAAGGACAGACTTAACCAGGCTTTGTTGTGGTAATTATCACTTCAAAGTATCAGCAGGTGACCATTTGTCCACCGTAACTCACAAAAGCTTAAGGCTTTTCCCTCCATTTTTACTGTCACACTCATGACAGTATAGTGGCTTGAATATTTTATCTATCATTATGTAGTATTATAATACACTAGGCCTTATTCACATTGAAAATATTTATTCAACAAATAGAAAAGGGCACTGTTACAGAGCACACAAATGTAGATGCTGAGAAAGTAACAAACACATCAGACAAAAAACAGATAAAGATAGAGGCGCTTTCAAATACAATCAACCCACAAGCTCCATGTTCCACACTAATATATTTACAGTCTGATATACAGTTTCCAAATGGAAAACAGTCCATAATTAGAAAAAGATTTTCTTCCATCCACGATAAGACAGACTTCTCAAGCTTTTGATGATGCTAAGCTTTTTACTTTTTCCACTTGTGCATTTGTTCTTAATGGCAGCAAATATTGCACAGTCAAAAACATCTTTCAGATGATGCTGTGTCAAGGCTGAGCACTCCACATAGTCACCTGCCTGAATTCTCTTGGCCAGTTTTTTAACCTGTTTAAAATGTATTGGTGCTATATTCTTTTCCTGTAGGTGAAGAAGTACATTCACGTTGTTGCAGAGGTCAGACTGTGTCCCGACCAGAATGATTGGAGATGTGAAGTTACGGCAGCGGATCTGCGGAATCCATTTCGTGGCAACATTGTGGAAGGATGTTGGATTGACCAGGCTGAAGCACAAGATGAAGACATCCACATGGGCATAGCACAAGGAGCGGAGGTGACCAAACTCATCCTGAAAAGCACACATCACAAAATGAACTGCAAAAGATAACCATATAATCAATGTAAAAGTTTATTTTTGGTGTATAGTTGGAAAAATTACCTGACCAGCTGTATCAATGAGTTTAATGCGAGTTGGAATTCCATTGACATGAACAACCCCTAAGTGAAAACATTTTATTCATAAAGCCATGACCCATGACAATAAAATAAATGTTGTCAGTTTGCTTCTTACCAGTGAAGACGTCAAAAGCTGTTTGCCTGTAATCACTGTTGTATCCATTGAAGACATAGCTGATGATCATGCTGGTTTTTCCCACAGCTCCATCACCAAGGAGCATGCAACTCACCTCCTCTCTCTGTCTGTATGGCCGTTCTTGTCTTTGATAACTTTGTGCCATTTCTGTTTCTAATTTTATTTAGAAATTAGAATATTCCAATTCCCACTCATGAGTAGAAAGTGCCTGTGGTAGTTTCTCTGTAAAAGATGCCTCTCACCATGTGCCTGTTGTTACTGTAAACCTCAATTTGAAAGGACAAAGGCAACCAATCAGATCAATGAGCTGCCTGAGAGATTAGCTTCCTATTGATAAACATTTACATAGTCACACCCCTTTTACACCCCTATGCATGACATGTGATCTTATTGGTCTTTGAAAGCTAGATTACTGTTCCTTAAATGTATGTCTTCCATGTAGGTGCAAAGTAAAAGTGACACAACAACCATTGCAGTGATTATCATACTTTTTAAACTGCCATCTAAGAAAAGTTTTGGCTCTTTGGATACCACCATCTATATCATCGCTGGAGTCATTCTTAACAAGAGGGAGAACCAAAAGATACATAAAACTGATTCTAAATTAAGCAAAAAATTGAACTGTAGAGGACCTTAAGTACTATCTGAAGGAGCTCGAGTACTACAGTTTGAGAAACACTGAACTATTATTTTGGAGATTATTTTAGATGCACCAGAAATATGAATTCATTTATTCTTGCACTTTTAGTACTGACCCATAGAGGGCAGTATTACGTTAAGTGCAAAATCACCTCTATGCTCATTAGCCAGTGAGTTTGAGTTTGATGAGTAGAGCAGAAGCAAGTAAAGAGACTTGACCCTCTCCAAATATATAAGAAAAAGTTTAAGTTAGAGTTGTGCCATTTAATGAGAAATGGAAGGACAAAGATGTTGAGTCAAATATACTGACTTAATTTATTAATTTTAGTTAACATTTGAGAAAATATATTCAATTAGGTCCAGATAATTCCTAACAAAATAAGAAATAGAAATTGTACATTTTACTCAAGAACATCTGTAGATTATCAAGCATGAATGAAAAAGTGGGACATTCCCTTCATCAGTTGGACTGGAATAAAACAAATATATATTTAATTTATCTGCCAGAAATATAAATTCTGCAATGCTTACATTTTTGTTGTTGCTGTTTTATTGTTTTACTGGCAGGTGCATTGCAATGTACTGCTATATCTATGATTTTATTAGACTCTCTCTTTCTACAGTTTTTAGTCCACATATTAAACACTTCGTTATTGTCCTATTGCCCTTACGCTGCAGATGCATGACAGAAGCAGCTTATGGCACAATGTGAAGCAGGCCTTATCAGAGGGGTCCTGCAGGAAACTCTGTGAGCATTGTGTTGTGAGCTCTGCGTTTCCTGTTTGTCGTTCTTACAAATTTACCCGCTCTCCTCTTTTTATAATCCCCCTCTCTTTCCTACCAGCTGCAGTGCCACATACTCCCAGTGGAAGACGGACAACATCTGGCCCCCTCCCCGGACCCCGGCTCTGCTCCCAGGCTGTACCTCGGACAGCTGTGATTCAAAACTCTGTTCCTTAACCCAAGGTAAATGTCAAACACAGGAAATCGTCTTAAAATATCCCAACATGCAATCATACGTTTCCTGTAGACTCCACTTTTATCAGTAATGGTGGACTGATGGCACCTAACCTAACCAGCAGAGGTCAGAAGTGTGCTTACGTACGTGAATTGTCAGATTGGCAGGTGCCTGGCCCTCAGTGGGTGGGCAGGTGGTTGAAGGGGTGAGGGGGGCATATCTATTACAGTAAACATGTTTTGTTTTGGCTTTCTCACTCTTAGTCTAACTGCTTCACATGACTAGAACTGCTGAAGTATTGGCATAGATTCGTACCAGTAATCTGCTTAGTAGGGGTGTGTGGCTTACAACAGGCCCAAATATACTTAAAAATCAATTTGAAATATACTCACTATTTTTAGGGTATTTGTGTATAATACATGAGGGCATTTTATAGACGCTACAACATTTTATACATTATATACTTGATAATAGACCAGTGTGGAACCTTTTGAGATTCCTGGACATGATATATAAACTGAAAAGTAAAAATATTTGCTCAATAATCAGGTCAGTTATTTAATTTACTAACTGTCATGAGCCTCTGTACCAGTATAAACATCAGGAAAGGCATCTGGGAGAGCCTGTTTTCTTTCATTCCAGTCATCTCTGTTTAATATATTGTTAGTTAAAATGACCTAATTTTCTGGAACAGGCAGCTTCTTTAGCATGTTGTGTAGTGATTATTGATATAGTATAGGTTTGAAGCCTAATGTCCTTCGAGACACAGAAAAGGATGTGGTCCTTTGACTGGATTAGTTCTGTAGCAGTGTAATAAAAGTGATTTTTTTTCTTTCTAGCCTTTTCTAGTTTAAGGATATTTATTGTAACATTTGCATAGATTCACTGAGCTATAATGCATAATCAGTTTTCATGACATTGATAATATTGTCCCCATTTCTAGCTCTATTACTAAACCGGACCACATTCAAAAGTGTTAACTGATTATTTTCCTTTCCCAAGCCAGACTTCAACGCAGGACACAAAAATGGCTTACACCATTTGCATAATGTTTGCCGCATAATGTCCCCTTAAGTCGATATGGTGGAGGCTCTTAAGAGAGGGGGATTAGTGTAGGCGCGGATCACTCTCGGACCCCACATGAGGGACCCCTGCCCTCCCCTCCTGTCCCATCCCAGACCCTATAGTTATAAGAGGGGGTCATGTATGGGTCATCTATACATGCTGCCTAATCTCTATGTTACTGTTTGATGACAGTGGTTGTAAACTGCTTACATAAACTGCACAAGAAAAATCACAACGGATAATCAAAAGTCATTTTAATCGTGACATAACCTATTGAACTCTGGACCTCTAGACACTTGAAGAGATTTCAAAGAATCTAAATCTTCTTTGATCGAAAGCCTAGAGGATCAGGCCATTTGGGTTGAGACTATTTAATGGTTAGGGTTTTATCAATCTCATTCAGTTTCTACCAAAACTATAGAAACTTTGCACAATGTTTATATTTTTTTTCTTTCAGATCAATTGTTATTATTGTTATATTATTCAGCAGATTTATAGGGTATAGGTCTTTGCCTTTGGTGGATCAGTGTTGATAATCAGAATTAAATTTATAACCATTGTGTGATTTGGATATGAACCGGATTATAACTCAGGATGTCAGGATGTCCCAATTTCTCAATAAAGCTGTATTTTGGGGCTTTTGTTTACTAGTGAGGATCTCTGTCAATATAGTTCCTCTTGCTCCATTAAATCCCTCCAGGAGGTCTGGCAGTGATGGGACTAATCCGACATTGCCCTCCCAGAGAGGGAGTCATGGGGGTCTGCTCTCTGGGATGGGCCAGCCACACAACATCAATAACTAAATATGGATTTGATGTTTGGGTGTTCATAGAAATTAATACATCATTTATTTGAAAAACAATTAAAATAATTAAATGTGATTAACAAAATGCTCCTAAGTCCTGTGATGTATTGGGATTACTGTGGTATGTAAAAGATTAATACTTCGAACATAAATATGTAAAATGTGTGTTCCTTCGTTTTGTTATTGTTTTGACATTTGTTTGCACAAATAAATAAATGAAAAATGAACCCTTTGACCTTTCAACCTAATCAATTAGCATTTGTAATGTTGTACAAGAGAAAGAAAATGTATATAAGAGAAAAAAGTACTTTTAGGAATTCTTGAATATAGTTTGTAGGTCCTGCATATTTGTTTACACACTCAGTCATATGATGGTTGGTCATGGATGGTCTGTTCCTGTAATTAACAAGTAGAGTTAATAAAAAGGTGTGTCTTAACTTGTATTAATATTTAGAAGTGCAATTGACCTACTTTGAAATCTATTGTCTGAACATGTCCCTGAAACTATATTACATTTACTTTATTTAATTGGAAATTTGCCAGAAACCACATTTCCATTGCAAGTGAATTCCACTTTTCTCCACACATCATAGGCACAGTTAACATGTGAAAGGATCTGAATCACACACGTCCGGACATTCCCTGAGAAAATATGCAAACATCTTATGTGTCTTATGGGGACTTTACATATATTTATACTACATGCCTAATTCCTGATCTTAAACTATTTTAACCATATCTGAACTTAATATCAGGCTGTTGATCTAACAATAAAGGAGTGACTTCATAGGAGCCATATTTCTGTCCTTTTAAGTGAGGCAGGCTCCCAAAATGTGTATACAGATTTCAGTCCCCGCATTGTGCTAAATACCCACAGAGGCACACACACTGCAGAGCCCTAGGTCGCTCTGTTTGATCCGATCTGTTACAGGGAAGTGATAACAAAGCCAACAGGGGTCTTAGCCTCTGGCCTTTGAAGCATCTGCGCTTCATCTTATTTAGGCTCTATTGGATCAGTCCCCACAGCAGCAGAATGTCCTGTCAGCACAATGCCACAAACGGCCACAAAAGCAACAATGAGAAACTAATAAACTTATAAACATGACATGTATTACTCATTTGTATGTATAATGTGTATTTTTTTGTTATGGTCTGCATTTTGAGGTAATGTATATTATGTAGTGGGGGTCCACTACCTGCTTATCTCTACTGAGATGTTTTTGCTTTGCTTCGAATATTCCGCAGTATTAAACTTATCAATTTTGCATCGTGCAATTACATGTGTTTAGAGATTAAAAAACAAACCAAAAATATCATTCCTACTCTGAATGGGCTTGCCTCTCCACAGATCTGATCTGTAACTTGGCCTGGGGTCACTTGCTATCTTCATGCAATTAGACAAATTCAGTACTATACTGTTAAAGATTCTTGCAAATAAAAAAACAACATCTCCATGGAGACTAGAAAGTTACTGATCCTCCACTAGAATAAGTTATATCTTTAACACTTTTACACCTTTAACTTGACCAAATACATAGATCATTTATGACAGAGGTAACTTACTACTTAATTTACCAACATATACATATATAAATTTTGGGCAGCACACATAAAAGCGTGCAAATCAAATCTTTTACAGAGTAATATCTTGTGCCTATTCTGTTGAGAACAAAGGCTA